TGGAGGGTGAAGAGTTGGACTCATTTCTGCGCGAATTTGTAACCAGTGTGATACCCGATCAACTAGGCAATGAGCTGGTGTCAGAGACGATGTATGAGAATCTCAAGTCCGAGTTTATGGATGCCTACGATATAGACGGTGATGGTAGGATCAACATCGCGGAGATGGTCGAGGTGCTGCCCTCGGATGAGAGTTTTGTGGCCATATTTTGCAATGAGATTCCCATCTCTTCCAGCGTAGAATTCATCCGGATCTGGCACAAGTTTGATACAAACAACGACGGTTATATTGAGACGGATGAATTGGTCAACTTCCTTACTCACCTCCTCTCATTGAGCAAAAAGGAAGTGGCTCCGGAAAAGGTTAAGCAATATGCAGACACAATTATTGAGCTGTTTGACAAGAACAAGGATCATCGTCTACAACTCAGTGAAATGTCTAGACTACTGCGAGTGAAGGAGAACTTCTTGGCAAAACCGCTAATGAAGAACTCTAAGCTTCTCTGTTCTAGGGAGCTGCAGAACATTTTTAACAATTACGATCGCGACGGCAACGGTTGGTTGGACCAGGATGAGCTTGATGGTCTATTGAAGGATTTCCTCGAGGCGAGTGGTCAGGACTGTGAAAAGGAGACCTTGGATACAATGCGAAAGAGACTTTTGAACGCTCTGGATGAAGATGGAGACGGGAAAATAGGAGTAGAGGAACTTCGTACTCTGCTCATACATGGTATGCGCATGTCGTTGGAGGTTGAGGATGATGAATCAGAACAGGGGATTGAAAATGCAGATAGTTCAGCTGTCTAAAAAATTATCGGATAAAAGGTTTTCCCGCCATTCTAGTGGTACATTGAAAAGTTGTCATTATTATTCTTATCAAGTGATGATCTCACTTTTTGTCATTTTACTTGAAGGCGATTGTTGACTCTTTCTCCAGATCCTCACAGTTTCTGTCATGTTTAAACAAAATTAAATTCACATACTGTTCCCTTAAGGGCATGTGTTCAATTTTGATAGAGAAAACCACCAAGATCACCGGATTTTGACGAAGAACAAGTGGGATTTTAAAAAACGGTTCCTCAATATGCAGAGCATTCTATCCGACTGAAGATATTGGCTGGAAACGTTAAGTTTAATTTCTGCTATTTGAAAATACCAGAAAGAAAAATATTTCAATATGATCTGAGGCGCTTTTTTTTAAAAAAAAAACAAAACTCAAGGCTGCACGGATCTAGCAAAAATGTATTTATGACACCCCAGCTATAGAAGCTATTTATCAGTATTCAGTATCAGTATATTGAGGGATGCGTAGGAAAAATTCCTTTGAGTGCCCTATTTGTACATATGTGCAGTGGCAACAGAAAATTTGTTTCTCAGACTGTTGGCAAGGCCAGTTATCCAGCAGAAAATTTGTTTCTCAGACTGTTGGCAAGGCCAGTTGTCCTGTGTCCATAGGACCGCATGGTGACGTATTTGGCATCACACAACAATTATAAGGAAGTGAATATAGGCAATTTAAAGGCAACATCCGGAAGCACCGAATAGATAAATTGAATTTTCTGAGAGGCACCAAGCAAATAATTTAAAGTGGGCCACTAAAACTGCCCCCAATGAAACCAACAACCCCCAAAATCTTTCGTTTAACATTTCTGAAAGCAGATTACTACAGTTCGACTGTGCGCGATTTGTATGCAGATATTTCGGTCACATCAACATACCGGCTGCAAATACAGCATTGAAGGAAGGAGCAGCACTGAAAATCAATGCGAAAAATGCATACTACAAAGATAGAATTTTTTTACAGCGTAGAGTTTTTGCAACCGCCTGGGATGAGACTCGTCCAAAATTTGGCATCGTGGTGTGACTAAAATGGATTAAGATTAGGCTGTACGTTAATTATTAGTACGAATATATTCAACTAATCTTTGCAAGATGAAAACAGATTTATGAATTTCTTTTAACAGTTCATGTGATAGCAACTCTACTCTTAGTGTAACTACATTTCTATAACAATGACTTTTCTCTTTTTCCTAAATACAAGTTCGATCCCTTGGATTAATTGATTGATTGGTGCTTTGGATGTAGGGGCTGAAACGGCCGGATCTTCCGTCCAACGCATGCGGGTATTAGCTAGGAGCCCGCGAAACTAAGCGTGGACGGTCGACGAACTAAAGTGACCCCTTTCTGGTTGACTAAAACGTCATAGTAGAGCCTTCGAGTCAAATGTAAACGACAATTATCCAAAGCAGAAGTGGACGCGATTACTGGAACAAGATTTTTATTCACCTGAAGTTGCGGAACCATTACCACTGACAGTAACAAAATCCCCATAGCAGACTCGTTTCTGCTACTGCTACTGTCTGTGACGATGGGTTCGAAGGGAAATCGGAAACACCAAGTGAATAAACTTATTGTCCCAGTAATCGCATTTTCTATGTCTTCTCAGTTACTTCCTGGGACTCGC